CCCCCCCCCCACGTGACCCGGTTTTGTCACCAAAGACAAAAACAATAATGACAAAAGCATCGGGAGTCTTGCGTTTCGGCAAGTCAAAGTGCCGACCGGAAATTGGCGTGGCTAGTGGTGGGTCTTCCCCCCACCCCTCCGTGCTGCTTCGACACGCCGGGCATGCCTTGCGACACTCGAGCAGCACACTACTTATGTGGGGGAAAGGCAAAAGTGTAAATCTCCCTGTCGGAACGAAAACGGAAAGCTGGCCGATTTCTCTGGAACTAGTTTGTTTGTTTTATTGTAAAGAGAAGACAAAAAAAATATTGCGTCATATCATTATGGTTGTGGGTCGAAGAACCTCTTCCGAAAAGCGATAGCGCGGGCAGTGCGGAAGCGACTTCCGTATCGCGGTGGTTGAACTGACCCCCTCGGCCCGAGGCGCCGACTCCCAGGTTGGCGTTGGCGCGATGCCCGACTTTCTCTAGACATGCACGATACCCATCCGGGTTTGTTTTTTTGTTTTTTGTGTGTGTTTTTTCTTGTATCTTCCTCCTTTTCCATCGTGTCGTTATCATCGTTTCGTATTCGTGGAGGGGTCACTGGGACAGGGTGCTTCTATTACTGGGCCATTTGTGCTGTTACGTAGAGAAGGGGTGACGACGGTGACAGACAGAAAACAAAAGAAAAGAGGACAGCTGTACATGTTATTTTTTTTATCAAGTTTTATTGAACGTGATACGATATGAACATTATTCACAGATGAATCGTTTATGAAATGCAGTATACATGATTATATAGTTCGCTGTCTGGACGCACATACGAGCCTAGCTAATTATCACAACCTGTTATTATTACAAACAACAAACAGCGTGTTTTAAAACTAATTGTGTGTTCAACTTTAATGAAATGAGGGCTATATCACACAGTGGTTCAGCGTTAGCCGAGTACAGTAGTAATCACCTATTCTTAAGTAGGTACCGATTGACAGACACAGTACAGTACGTTCGAGAGAATCAAAAATTGCTCGAACCGTGCAGACATCTTTATCAAGTTTCCCGTTTGGAGACATAACCGTAAGATCTCAGCTCTGAAACAAACCAAATTAAAAAAGTTTTGTTTAGGGAAAAGTCTCTTTGAAAAAAATAAAGGAGAAGAATAGAAAATATATTCCACTGGAACTTACCCTCAAACAGGGGTGCCTTTTCAAGTACGTGGCCGAACCAGCCATCCCAGTCGACGGGGTCCTTCGTCTTGGTGCCCCCGAAGTCCTTGGGCAACACGCACGGAGGAAGGACTTTGTGCAGAGAGGACAGGTCGCCGTTGTGCCAGGATATCTGCGCGGTGGGTGAAAAACGTCGGTTAAAACAGTTTAGCCGTACAAACGCAATTTCACATGCTGAGCGAAAATCTCTTCACCTTTCTTCTGAACTCCTCCTTCATGAGGGGCTTGACCGCGTTGTAGGTGAGGCTGAACACCCGGGGCGCGTTGACGCAGTACAGGGCCTGCATCTTGACCGGTATGCAGTCCTGCAGGAACTTGAGGGAGACCTTGATCTTGTAGGGCGTGAGCCACCGGACCAGCTTGTAGGAGAAGCGCGTGATGTCCACGAGCACGACGATGCCGTCGCGCTGTACCTCCGGGTCCACGGACAGGGCCTCCATGGTCATGAGGCACGTCTGCAGCACCTCCTCGAACTTGTGCCGGGAGGGGTCCATGTCGCCTGCGACACAACACGTTGCGTGACTTTGTGGTCATTCTAGGACCACGGCGGAGTTGGTTGGTCGAGGACGGCGCGGCGGCATGGCAGCGGGGAGCGCCCCCCCGTGGTCCTCCTACCCTCCGCCAAGTAGATGACCGTAACTGATCGGGTCCGGGTGGCGAGTTGCGCGCCGCCCCCGCGCCCGCCTCCCCCATCGACTGATGACTGAGGCGTGAGTGTATTCTCAAAGAGGCGCCGACTTTTCCTCTGAAAGTGGAAGAGCCCTTAAACCTTCCCCTGCGTCTCTCTTTCTCTCTCTCTCTCTCTCGCACCCAACCCTCCGGCTGTCAGTCAGAGTCTTTTTCCTTTACTCTTTCTGTTTCTTTCTAAATACCCCCGGGGTTTGCCTCTGGGGGGCCGGCGCCGACGGCGGCCCAAGTGAAGTCGTATAATTATACTCTTGGGGGAGAGAGAAGCAGTCGTCGCAAAGAAGACTTCATCAAAATACACGCAATAACTTTTGGAGGGCTTCTTTCGCTAATGCCTTGAGTTTTCATCCTCAAACTCATTGAGACCTGGATCCTGGAAACTCTGGGCTGGGGTCCTCGGGGTTGTGATTTTCTCAGACACTCCCCTCAATTTTCGGAATCCTTCAGCACACTTGTTAGTGTGTCGTGCGTCTT